AACCCACGGGCTCAGGCAGTCCACTCACCTCAGCCTCCCAAGGCATGGGATTACAGGCTGAGCCACCGAGCCCGACCTAGATAGTCCTTTTCAACTGTCAGTGTCATGTTTGCAGAGTTTGTTACCTAATGTCTTTCCGGTGTTTGTTTGTTTGTTTGTTTGCGGGGGCTGGAATCTCACTCTGTCACCCAGGAGGCTGGAGGGCAGTGGCACGCTGCTCATAACCACCACAGCCTCGACCTGCTGGGCTCAGGCAATCCTTCCACCTCTGCCTTCCAAGTAGCTGGAACTAAAGGCGTACATGACCACGCCCAGCTAATTTTTTGATTTATTGTAGAGATGAGGTCTCACCAAATTGCCTAGGTTGGCCTCAAACCCGTGGGCTTAGGCAATCCTCTCACCTCGGCCTCCCTCCTTGGCTGGGATTATAGGTGTGAGCCACCGCGCCTGGCCTTTTTCTGATGTTTTGAAGGACTTTAAAAATATTTAAGTATTTAATTTATCTGCAATTTATTTTAATATTTATTTGCTATCTTATTTATTTTGTATTTCCAAGTGTCTAATTAGTTACCCCGGTATCATTCATCCACTTGAAACTATTTTGAAATGCCACCATATAAATTCCTTACATCTTTCAGTGTATTGCAGAACTTATTGCCTTTCACTCTGTCAGTCTACTTACTTCAAAATATACTCTAATATTTGTTAGAGCAAGTTTTCCTTCACTACTCTTTTTCATAGTTTTCTTGACTGTTGTCACCTGTTACTTTTCCCAGTACAACTTAGAATATTCCATCTCTGTTCTCTCTTTTTTGTTTTTTTGTTTTTTTGAGTTCGAGTCTCACTCTGTCGTCCAGACTGGAGTGCAGTGGCCGCTCTCGGCAACTGCAGCCTCGAGCTGCTGGGCTCCGGCGATCCTTCCACCTCAGCCTTCCAAGTAGCCGGAATTACAGGCGCGCGCTACCACACCCAGCTAATTTTTTGATTTATTGTAGAGATGAGGTCTCGCTGCCCAGGCCGGTCTCGAACCCACGGGCTCAGGCAATCCACTCACTTCAGCCTCCCAAAGGCGCAGGATTATAGGCTGAGCCACCCAGCCCGGCTTGTTCTCTCTTAACATTATGGAAAATTTCCAGGACATAGAGAGAGGAATATAAAGCCTTGGTTCCTCTTATCTCCTTTAGTGTTTCAGGAGATTTCCAATGCTTAGTTGAATAATGACCAATTAAGATATTTTCTATTGTTCTTTCATTGCCAATTCCCTAGAATGAAATAAAACCTTATTTTATAAAAAGGCTTAAGTCATTATCGAGTTATTAGTTATTTGGTGGCAATTAAATTTACCTTGATTTGAGACTGTCTTTATAGCCAAAACTGTATCCATCCTGTTGTTAATTGCATTAAGCAATGCTACAGCTTGAAATTATTACAACTTAAGTGATATAAATGTGGTAAATATGTTTGATAATGTTTCAACTCTTTTTCATTTTTTTCCCAGCCACCTGTCTTTCCCAGTTTCCAAGACTATGTTACTGGGCTTCAGACTTTAATTTCCAATGTTGTGGATCATATTAAAGGGCTTGAAACACATCTGATTGCACTTAAACTTGAAGAACTTATTTTAGAAGACACTTCTCTGTCACTGGTAAGAGATTATAGGTGATCAGCAACGTTATATGTATACACACTTTTACATGTTCTTTATCACATGGACAAATTAATTTTCATTTCATTGTTCTCTCCTTATAAGACTTGTGACTAGGTACCTGGCACTAGTTTTTTGATGTATTGTTCATGATGTATTTTTTCCTCTCTTCTTTTCCTCCCACCTCTCCTCTTTTTTATACATTTTGGGGTTATTTTAGTGTGAAAACTCATGCTAGCATTTTGTACAAGAGGAAACCACCCATATTTTGAGATGCAGTGGCAATCTCCTTGAGCACGAATTTACCTGTTGCTAAATTGTCTGGCTTCTTTGCTACCCTAGTTGTTATCACCTGAAAAAGGAGAGATATTGAACATTAGAAATAATTATGGCAATAATAATTAGGTTAGAGCAAACCAGCCAAAAATGGAATGGAACTAACTATGGAATCAAAGGTACCTACCATCAAATGTTTCCTGATACAATTTTTTTTTTTTTGAGTCAGATTCTCACTCTGTGCCCAGGCTGGAGGAGTGTAGTGGCATGCTCACGGCCACAGCAGAGTAAGAGTTCTCTTTTTCAGTTCTGGAGGTTATCTGTAATTTTGCAGTACTTTAGATTTTTCTTTTTCTTTCTTTCTTTTTTTTTTTTGAGTTGGAGTCTCACTCTGTCGCCCAGACTAGAGTGCAATGTCCGCTCCCGGCCACCGCAGCCTTCACCTGCTGGGCTCTGGCGATCCTTCTTCCTTAGCCTTCCAAGTAGCCGGAATTACAGGCATGCGCTACCACACCCGGCTGATTGTTTTTTTGATTTATTGTAGAGATGAGGTCTCGCTGCCCAGGCGGGTCTCGAACCCCCAGGCTCAGGCAATCCACTCACCTCAGCCTCCCAAAGGCGCGGGATTACAGGCTGAGCCACCGAGCTTGGCTACTTTAGATTTTTCAAGCTCTGGTTCTGTTTTTGTCTTTTGACCTTGGGAAAGATACTTTATGGGCCTCAATTTCTTTATCTGTAAATGAAGATGAAAATAATACCAAGTTTGTGGGATTATAGTAAGAATTAAGCAAAGCAATAATTGACCCTATTTTGCCTACTTTTGTCAAAGTCATAATTCATAAAGTATTTATCTTTCAGGTATGAATCACTTCAGTTCAGTTTCCATTAGTTTTGTCTCCTGTTTCTTCCTTTCTTTCTAAACTTGAAACACTGAATAAGACCTCTGGATTATTACCTAGTTCTGGTTCAGTTTCTTCCTACTATGGGGTATCCAACTGAAACTGGTTGTGTGTCAAGACTATTTTTGTATATGTTTATACTCATAGAGAATATACACAGTTTTGTGTTATTTGGGTTTTTTTTCTTTTGAGTTCAAGGCTGGAGTGCGGCGGCATGATCATGGCTGACTGCAGCCTTGACCTCCTGGGCTCAAGTGATCCTTGTGCCTCAGCCTCCTGAGTAGCTAGGACTACAGGTACACACCATTTTGTCCAGCTAATTTTTTATAGAGACGAGGTATTGCTGTGTTGTCTAGGCTTGTCTTGAACCCCTCTGCTCAAGCAGTCCTCCTGCCTAGGTTTCCCAAGGTGCTGGGATTACAGGCGTTAGCCACTGCGACCGGCCTATTTTTTTTTTTTTTTGAGTTGGAGTCTCACTCAGTCATCCAGACTGGAGTGCAGTGGCCGCTCCTGGCCACCGCAGCCTCAACCTGCTGGGCTCCGGCGATCCTTCCGCCTCAGCCTTCCGAGTAGCCGGAATTACAGGCATGCGCTACCACGCCCAGCTGATTTTTTTATTTATTGTAGAGATGAGGTCTCGCTGCCTAGGCGGGTCTTGAACCCACGGGCTCAGGCAATCCACTCACCTCAGCCTCCCAAAGGTGCGGGATTACAGGCTGAGCCACCGAGCCCGGCTTATTTTGTATTTTTTGAAAGGCAAATGATGGACTGTATTCTGCAGCTTGCCTTTTTTTCACCCAACTTTATATTCAAGAGATCTGTTGAAGCTAATGTATATAGATGAGTCTTACTCATTAACTATTGACTATTGACTACTGAGTAGTCAAAATACAATACACCACAGCCATTAGATATTTTAGTTTGTTTCTCTATATTTTTTACATACAGTACTGAACAAAATGTATTTGTATGTACTTTCTATTCACATATTTCTAAGGTATTTAAGGAAGATGAGCATGGTGACTCACACCTGTAATCCCAGCACTTTTGGGAGGCTGAGGCAGGAGGGTTGCTTGAGACCACCCTGGCAACAAATTGAGATTTTGTCTCTACAAAAATAGAAAGAAGGGCCAGGAGCAGTGGCTTACACCTATAATCCCGGCACTTTGGGAGGCCGAGGTGAGAGGATTGCCTGAGCCTGCTGGTTCGAGCCTGGGCAACTTGGCAAGACCTCATCTCTACAGTAAATCAAAAAAATAATTAGCCAGGCATGGTGGCGTGTGCCTGTAGTTCCAGCTACTTGGATGGCTGAGACAGAAGAATCACCTGAGCCCAGCAGGTCGAGGCTGCCACTGCTCTCCAGCCTGGGTGACAGAGTGAGCCTCCAACTCAAAAAAACATAAAAATAAAAACAAAAATAGAAAGAAAACTAGCTGGGCATGGTGGTGCACACCTATAGTGTTAGCTCCTCAGGACGCTGAGGCAGGAGGATCACTTGAGTCCAGCAGTTTGAGACTGCGGTGACCCATGATTATGCCACTGCGCTCCAGCCTGGTCAACAGTGAAATCCTGTCTCAAAAAATAAAAATAAGGCAGATTAGGTCTGAAATAGTAGTATTGTTATGTGAGAAAATGCATTCCCTGATGTCTCCTGCAGTTCTCAGCTCTGTAGCACTGCTAGCTTCAGATGAACCTAATCAATCTCAGCCAACCTCCTTTCTGTTAGAACACTTCTTCCCTTCTATTTTTTGTGGTCCCTACCACAGCAAATATGTGCCAGCAAATATTAACCCATATATTTGAGAATATATATTTCGTCTCTTGAACTCATGGGCTTTGTCAATATGGAGGGAGACTTGTCAGTATTTTATCTGAGGAAAAAATGGAGTTGGCAAAGTTGATGACTTAAAGTGGTTGTAATGATGTCAAAATTAGTAATAAATTTCTACTTTTTTTCTGATGAAAACAATCAGAAATTTTCCACTTTGTACAGCATATAACAAAATAGTGATTTTGTGTCCAACTACTTGGTCATAATTTTCTGCCGTTTTTATTGACTAAAAACTAGAATCAGAAATCTCAGTTTTTCTACTTTATTTGATATGACATATATTTACAAGAATAATGATGCTAAAGCAATAGAGTCTCCGAAAAGTCACATTAAAAAATCCATTTGTGGCCAAGAGTGGTGGCTCACACCTATAATCCCAACACTTTGGGAGGCCGAGGTGAGAGGATGGACTGAGCCCACAGGCTCGAGACCAGCCCAGGCAACTTGGCGAGACCTCATCTCTACAATAAATCAAGAAAAATTAGCCAGGTGTGGTGGTGCATGGCTGAGGTGGAAGGATCGCCTGAGCCCAGCAAGTCGAGGTTGCAGTGGCCGGGAGTCTGCCACTGCACTCCAGCCTGGGTGACAGAGTGAGACTCTGACTCAAAGAAAAAAAAAAATCTGTTTGTGATGAGTTTTAACCTTCTTTACATTTTATGAACTGAAAATGTCCCACTCTGTTCTAGTGGAACTTGCTATAAGACCCAAGGTAATGGTGGTTCATTTATCTGAGGAAAAGCTGGGGGGATAATCTTTGAGCAAGACTACTTATTCTTGTCACCTTCTTTATAGGAGGAGAGAAAATTTTCAAAGACTGTTCAAGGGAAGGTGCAGAGCAGTTATCTGCACTCACTTCTGGAAATGGGGGAGCTGCTGAAAAAAAGACTGGAGACCACAAAAAAACTAAAACTTTAAGGAGATAACAACAACAGGCACGGTGGACTCTAAAACAGAAAAATGACACCATCTTCCCAGACAAAGACATCTGGTTGACCATCATTTTAATCCAGAACTTCCTCCTAAAATGCATGAAGGACTTTGTGAATTAATTTTTTAGGTATTAAATATATACAACTGATTAAATTATTGTATATAAACCAGAAGCAGGACCCTCATCTGGGTTTGACCACTTTTTATACATGTTCATATGCATATGGCAGCAACAAGAGAACCCTCCTTTTCTTCCCTCCCATCACCAGAGACATCTTAAGGGGGCCGGTTCTACATAAGCAGCAATAGAAATTATGCATCAAGTATCAACCTCATAGCAACTGAATTGCCCTCCCACTATAGCAGTGGGAGTTTGGGTCTAGTCCTTTTGCCACAGGAAGTAGAGGGATGACCATGACTGGGAGCAGGTCCTCTTGCCATTGTAGCAGGGTTGTTTTGAGGTTCTTCAGCTACTTGGTTCCCACAAAACTCAAAGCAGGTGCAGAGCCTTAGATGAGATTTGGCATAAGCAACTCCCACTGGAGGGCACCACTCAGATGACCCAGAGGAGCTCATTTTTTGTCAGATAGCATCCACATCTTAGCTCCTGTGAGAATTAAATCTCAGATAGAGGCAAGGAATGCTCTGTTAATTTACTTTTTTAAAAATGTATTTTTTGTGTAGGAGTCTCACCCTGTTGCCTAGGTGGAGGGTGTTGGCAAGCTCACGGCCACCGCAGCCTTGACCTGCTGGGCTCCGCCTCAGCATTTCAAGTAGCTGGAACTACAGGCATGCCCCACCATGCCTGGCTAATTTTTCTTGATTTATTGTAGTGATGAGGCCTCACCAAGTTGCCCGGGCAGGTCTCGAACCTGTGGGCTCAGGCAATCTTCTCACCTCGGCCTCCCAAAGTGCTGGGATTATAGGCATGAGCCACCGCGCCCGGCTTCTCTGATAATTTACAACTATTTAGAGGGGAAAGCAGTGCAGACCACTTAGCCTGCTGAGGACTAGCTTGCTGTCTTTCATCCATGTGGGAAAGATGGGAATCATTGTTTTAAAGAAGAGAGGTGTACATAATTTATGCAGACAAGTCTGATACTTATTTCATTGGTTTTGTGAGTTATATACTGCAATTGATTCATGAGTCACATATATATATGTACATATATATATATGCTTGAAAATTAAGATTTAATACTTTAGTGTTTTTAAGTGGGGGATTTGGGAAGGAACATATATTATGGATTTAACCTAGGTTTTAAGTTTTAGGCTGGCAAAAGAAACATTATCCAATGGCTTTGAGGTTCAGTATACTTTCTTCAAACTTGGAGAATTATACCAGGATAGAGTTTACTTTGTTAACCTGAAGGTCCTCAAGACTAGTTTCAGAGGTTGGTCTGATAGAAGAGAGAAAAATTGCTCTTGAAAGTGTTATATAATTTACATAATTTCTTGATAACATTTTTGTATTTGAATCCCTGCTTCTGTTTTTGGTCTTTGTTACCCAAATATAGTTATGGTTAGTAATTCTTTAAGAGGAAAGAAATTAATTTGATGAAGAAATTAAAGCATCCAATGGAAACTTGGTGTTGAAGACCTTAAAGATCTTTTTCAATGTACTACTCTAGTGAAATGTAATAATTTTTTTCTTTTAAGAGCAACTAAGAGATGGAAAGATCTGCATATGCAAAGCAATTGCATTTCCCCCCCATCTTGACTTTCTTAGATTCATAATTTGATAACTTTAAACTTCCAAGGAAATTTTAAAAATTACTGTATTACCTGTTAAAAATAAGACTTCTTGGAAATCCTAGTCTATCAAGTAATTTCAAAAATTTATTTTTGATATAAATGAGTAGCCACAGCTGTCACATACCCCCTCCCAAATGGAAGAACTGTCTTCAACAAGATGAATTGTGAAAATTCAGATTCTGAATCTCGTGTAATCTCAACATATCATTTCATAAAACTATGGCCTATTTTAGATGAAACTGTGTGTCTCTTGGGGGAGACAGGGTATCTGTGTATGGCATGTGTTCTTGAAATGATGTTTCTTTGAATATCCAGAAAAGTACTGTACTGTGGAAATGCTCTTTGGAAAAAATCTGTCAACTGACCATGATCAATCTAGTATGTACGTTCAATGGGCTGGCCTTGGTCCTCAGGGACGGTGTGTAACTCTAGTGGTCTACCTAACCAGTCTCTTGCCTGGAGGTATCTGGAACCTCTAGGGGTTTTAGTGGCAAGTGTTAAGTAGAGGTTATGCTTACTTTGTTACTTGCTGATTTTCCTATTAAATGTAGCATTTATTTCAATTAGCTCCAACTCTCACATTTGAGATAATTGTAAAAATAATGAAATTATGCAGAAGTGGCCAATATCTCTTATCAACCTGTTCTTTTGGAAACTGTCATGTACTATAAATTGTGTACAGTTAAAAAAAAAATATATATATATATATATATTCTTACATGAGTAAAAAGCACCCTCTCCCAGCAATTGTATGTCATTGGTATTTGAAGAAAGTTTCCAAATAACCTATTGCTGCTGCTGTTTTTGGTTTGTATGGGTTTTTTGTTTTTGTGTGGTAAATTCATATTTTAAAAAAAAAGGAAAGAAAAAAAACCACAACTACTGTTTACAGACTGAAAAATTACAGCTTTTTATACTACTGAGATCCTAAGTTAAGACTCCAAAGCAAACATTTGGTTTAAATCATTTATCTGATATGCATAAAGGTAGAAAAACTTTTAGTGTTCCTCACTTAATGGAAAATGTACAAATGCCTAGTTGTGTTTCCCGTCAATTTTGTATATCTTCAGTAATTTTAATTGTTCTAAATTGCATTATATTTTGCAGTCACTATGTTAAATCTGGATTTGTCTTTCATTTTAACTTTTAATATAAAAAGGGGTTTCAATGTATCTACAGGCTTGTTATTGAAACTCTTCATACTTACTTGATAAGACCTATAGATACGGGAAGTATATATTCTTCCTTTTTCAGAATTAAGTGAAGCATACAAGTCTACTTTAAACTGGATGGGCTTAATTTATAAAAACATTTTCATTTTAAGGTGGCATTTCTGATTCACTTTTGTTCAGATTCTTAGGAGCCACAACCTCCTGAATGGTGTTATTCGTCTCAATTTTGTATTGAGTGCTATATCCCCAGCAGATTTACCACCACCACTCCCACCCCCAGCCGAGGTCTCTGTCACCCAGGCTGAAGTGCAGTGGCAGAATCAGCTCACTGCAACCTCAACCTCCTGAGCTCAGACCATCCCTCCACCTTAGTCTCCCAAATAGCTGGAACTAAAGACACATACCCCCACACCTGGCTAACTTTTTGAGGTTTTTTTTGTAGAGACAAGGTCTGGCTATGTTGCCCAGGCTGGTCTTGAACCCCTGGGCTCAAGCAATCCTCTTGCCTTGGCCTCCCAAAGTGCTAGGATTACAGGCGGGAGCCACTGTGCCCGGCAGATTTTTAATATTTGAGGATTTAAAGCTTTTGTTCTAAGGCAACTAGTCTTTTTGGTTTAAAAGTAGTACTTTCTAGCCGGTCATGGTAGCTCGCGCCTGTAGTTCCAGCTACTTGGAAGGCTGAGGCGGAAGGATCACCGGAGGCCAGCAGGTCTCGAGGCTGCGAGGGCTGGGAGCGGCCACTGCACTCCAGTCTGGGCAACTGACTGAGTGAGACTGCAACTCAAAAAAATAAAAGTAGTACTTTCCATTCTTGTATTTATCAATCTAACTATACCCATTTTAGGTTCTGTTTGATAGATGGTAAATGAAAGGCCAAATCCTAGTTAGTGGCTGTGAGGTTAAAAAGAGGCAATAAAAACATTAGTTTGTAGTTAGGTCCCGTTGAATAAAGTAAATCACAGTATGCGATAGAGCGTCTAGAAGGTCACTTCAGACTGGGTCCCAAGAGGGCCTTTGGAGTGGTGACATCTGACCTGAATGATGAAGAGGCAGAGAAAAAGGAACACAAGTGCAAGTGCCCCAAGGCAGGAAACTGCTGAGCATGGTCCGGTAAGTGAAAAAGTGCTCAAGTGGCTGAGACGTCATGAAAGGAGTGGAAAGGGGCAGGGATGGAGACGAAGAGTGGGATCAGATCACTCAGGACTTTTTAGCCAGGGCAAGGAATGAGACTTATTCTACCCTTAGTGGGAAGTGATGGGCATTTCTAGCAGGTTGGTGGCATTTCTTCCAGGTTACTCAGACCCAGATTCAAAACATATTCAGGCACACTGACAACACAGGGGGAAAAAAAGCTGTTTTTCCTCTCCTGTTTTGTGTCCTGTGACATTAAGTCCTTCTATGAGCCGTAAATTTTTGCCTGCTTCTTCAGTTATGAATTCCATCCCATAATTTTCCATCTTAATTTTCCTCAAAAGACGGGCTCGGCTTTATACTTTTTTAATGCCCCCCCAAGACTTTTTGCTGTTGCTGCTTTGTTGCAGACATGTATTTCATGATGAGTGGAGGGTAAGCTACAATTAGCCAACTGCTTACACAAATTATTTGTGGGGTTCCTATAGCATTTTATGCTTGAAGTAGTTATTGCAAACAGGCTGCTAGGGTTGGGACCCAAATCTGCAAACAATTCAAACTCTTAAGCACTAAGGAGCTAAAATCCAAATATTGCTCACCACCCACCACCACCTCACAGTCTTGATGGCCATGTTCAAATCCCCAGATTCTTAGTTCTCTATGAATCACTCCTGATAGGATTCTAACGCCAACATTTTTTGTGGTACCAAGTGCAAGGTCTATTTGTAAATTAAAATTACTCTTGGCACAACCTGAGATAACTTGCAATTTCCTTACAATCTTTTTTTTTTTGAGGCTCAGGCAATCCTTTCTGCTTCAGCTTCTTGAATAGCTGGGACTACTCAAGGTGCACATCACCAAGCCTGGCTAATTTTTTTGTAGAGACTAGGTCTCACAGTAAGTCCTCCCACCTCAGCCTCCTAAAGTGCTAGGATTATAGGTGTGAGCCACCACACCCAGACTTCCATTAACTACTTTTTTCTTTTTTGAGCTGGAGTCTCTGTCACCCAGACTGGAGTGCAGTGGCCGCTCCCGGCCACTGCAGCCTCGACCTGCTGGGTTCCGGCGATCCTTCCACCTCAGCCTTTCAACTAGCCGAATTACAGGCGCGCGCTACCACACCTGGCTAATTTTTGATTTATCATAGAGATGAGGTCTCACCAAGCTGCCCAGGCGGGTCTCGAACCCGTGGGCTCAGGCAATCCACTCACCTCAGCCTCCCAAGGTGGAGGACTACAGGCTGAGCCACCAAGCCCGGATTCCCATTGACTTTAAATTATCAATACAGGCCAGGGTGCAGTGGCTCAGCCTATAATCCCGGCATTTTGGGAGGCCAGGCTGAGGTGAGAGGATTGCCTGAGCCTGCAGGTTCGAGACCAGCCTGGGTAACTTGGTGAGACCTCATCTCTACAATAAATCAAAACCATTAGCTGGACATGGTGGCACGTTCCTGTAGTTCCAGTTACTTGGAAGGCTGAGGCCGAAGGATCGCAAGCCCAGCAGGTCAAGGCTGCGGTGGCTGGGAGTGTGCTACTGCCCTCTAGCCTGGTTGACAGAGTGACACCAACTCAAAAAACAAACAAGTATCAATCTGGATGAAATGGAGAAAAATAATTCAACCTTTTATTTGCAAACTTCATTTACCTTAAATTTTTTTGTGTAGGTACAATTAGATGTATTTCAGAAAGTGGGGCTGTCATGAAGTTCACTATTACAGGTAACTGCTTATCCTGAGAAAAGGTTTTGAAGTCAGAACAGTGCTCTCCACACTGCTTTCTGTAAGTTGGTATTTACTGATGACTGACAGTAACAAAGTGACTTAGATGGAAAACAATTTTTTTTAACTTTTTTTTTTGAGTTAGAGTCTCACTCTATCACCTAGGCTGAAGGGCAGTGGCATGCTCCCAGCCACTGCAGCCTCAACCTGCTGGGCTCAGGCGATCCTTCCTCCTCAGCCTTCCAAGTAGCTAGAACTACAGGCACTCACCACCATGCCCGGCTGCTAATTTTTTGATTTATTATTGTAGAGATGAGGTCTCACCAAGTTGCTCAGACTGGTTTCAAACCAGCAAGCTCCCAAAGTGCTGGGATTATAAGCGTGTGCCACCATGCCTGGCCTTTTTAAACTTTCAAATTGGACTGAATTATAACATTTAGCTGTCTAAATTCAAGCTACAAAATATATTAGTAAAACTATGATTTGTGAAAAACGTCTCACAGAGCATGGAAAATTGCACCATGGTTCATCAATGTTGCTATTGAGTTTTGTGTTTTTTTGTTTTTGAGTTGGAGTCTCACTCTGTCGCCCAGACTGGAGTGCAGTGGCCGCTTCTGGCCACCGCAGCCTCGACCTGCTGGGCTC